GATCCCGAACTTCAGCGTTACCGTCAACAATACGACGATGCTGATGAGGAGGAGTCTGACCTCCTGGTAGAGATGATGGATCTCATCAATAATATGGAGGGAACCTTGAAGGTCCGGACCAACGTAAACCGGTCAATCAAGGACGGTCTCCCAAAGGTGAAGAATCGGGTTGCCCGAGTTCTGGCAATTAAAGGCTTGATGAGACAGGCTTTAGTTAATGAACGGGAGCTTGTGAACCAAGTTTTAGCCCCTAAACTAAACGACAAGGGCGGGAACCAAAGGAAACGGGCAAGGAGCTCGCCAGCGGATAGCCCCGATCTTATTGAATTGGCCAACCACCCTCTGTCAGATGCCGAGCAGAAGGTCGAGGACAGGGCCACTCAGATGACACCCCCTACTGAGCACAATCCAGCTCTAAAGAAGCGCCCTCAGCAAACCAGGGAGCTTACCTCTCTCCCAACGGTTGACGGAAGCAGCTCTATGTACTCCGCTGCGGCACCATCAAATGTGGGTAGCTGGGAGAAGAGGCTTCCCCGCAAAGAAAAGAGGAAATTGAGACGAATGGAGGCTGTCTCTAACAAAGAAGCAGCAACAAGATATCGAAAGGTTGCTGATCCTGCTCCGGCGAGGGAGGTTCGTGGATAGGCACCCCCCGTTTCAAAAAAACCCTGGCCGAGAAAGCCCAGGGCTGAGGCAATACTGATCAACCCCTCAGGGGGGCGATCTTTTGCTGAAGTCTTGGGTCGACTCAAGTCTAAGGCCAAGCCAGAGGAGACGGATACAGCCGTTAAGTCAATCAGATGTACCCAGAACGGGAAAGTTCTCCTCGAGCTGGGGAAATCTGGCGACCGAGTGGCTTTTGCTGCAAAGGTCAGAGAGGCTCTGGGGGACCACGGTACCGTTCGTGAACTCGAGCCTAGAACCTCTGTGGAGATCCGGGACCTTGACGGTCTTTCGACGGAGGCTGAGGTCAGGGAGGCTATCAACAAGGCCATCCCTGATAACCAAAATGCCGACTCCCTTAAAGTATGGCTTACGCGGCCCAACCGCAGAGAGCAACGCATAGCTATCGCTGAAATGTGAAATCAAGATGCCAGCAATCTGCTTAATCTCACACACCTGAGAATTGGATGGGTCAATTGCAGGCTCAGACGGAGGGTGGTCGTACCGCGATGCTTTCGCTGCCTCGGGTTTGGTCACTCTTCCCGAAACTGTAGGGACCCAACCGAGCCAAGAATTGCTTCAGGTGTGGCGGCTTGGGCCACAACAGGAAGAACTGTACCGCAGCAGACCGCTGTTTTCTCTGCGCAGAGAAAGGCCAAAAGTACGATTCATTAGGTCATATCCCAGGGGCTGGGCGATGCAGTGTTATCAAAGCTGCACTCGACCTTGAGAAGGCTAGGTCTAGGAAGTGAGGATTCTCCAGGGTAACCTTGAGAGGTCCAGGACGGCTGACTCCCTTTTAGATCAGCTGGTCCAAGAGATCGGCGCGGACACCCTTCTGATCAGCGAGCAGTACCGTGACAGGGACCCACGATTCTGGTTCCCAGATTCTCTCGGTACTGCCGCTTGTTGGGTTCGAAACAGCACCGAAGCACCAGTGCGAGATCACGGACGCGGCCGAGGCTTCGTTTGGATCAGGTGTAGGGACGTCACGCTTTTTAGTGTCTACCTTACCCCCAACGAGCTAATTCGGGAATTCCGTCTGAAGGTTGACCGCTTAGAAGACAGTGTACGCGGTACCGTTGGGCATGTCGTTGTTGCTGGTGATTTTAAAGCGAGGGCTGTGGGGTGGGGCATGACCTCTACAAACTCCCGGGGGAAATACATCCTGGACTTTGCCGCCAGGGCCGGACTTGTCGTCTTAAACTAAGGCGACACGCCTACTTTCCGGCGCCCCGGCATGAGAGGTACGATCCCCGATATCTCCTTCTCGTCGGAATCACTACTAGCATGGATCTCCAACTGGAGAGTCATCGAAGACCTCACGGCAAGTGATCCAGTACATCGTTTTTGATATACTGGATGAACTCCATAATCAAGCGCCCGTATCACGATCTGGGCCACGCCGATGGAATACGGACAAGCTGGACGTTGAGAAGTTCACTGACGTAATCTCACGGGGAGTGCTGGTGAATTCTGCTGCACCTGTTGACGCCGAGGCATTGGTAACGTCCACGATGGAACTGATTGTCTCGGCTTGTAACCAGGCCATGCCACGCAGGGGACGCCGTCGCGATAAGCAAGCTGTGTACTGGTGGACCTTAGAGATCTCGAACCTTCGGAAAGCTTGTCTGAAAGCCAGACGTGCCGCTATGAGGGCCAGAAGATTCCCGGATTTCGAGGCTAAGTCAGCGGCTTATAGGGCTGCGAGGAAAGCTCTCCGTCGGGCTATCATCAGGAGCAAGGCTAGCTGTTGGAGGAGGCTTCAAGAAGATGTCGACTCTGATCCTTGGGGACTATTTTATTATTTTTTTTTTATTTTTTTTCATAATTTTTTTTTTCAAATAATTAAAATAATAATGGGATTGTTTTTTCACATTACTTCAGGACCTAGGGGTTGCGGCATTATCACTTAGATAAAATCCATTGGTGACTTGGTGGGATTTGAACCCGGGACCTCTTGGTCCAAAGTCCCGCGCTCTAACCACTAGACCAGCTCGCTCCCCGGGCTACGCCCCTTGGATGTCTAAAATTTTGAGGTGAGGGTTTTTAAATTGTTTTTAATATTAACTGGTCCCCATTGAAGCATGAGAAAATTAACAGTGTTCTTTGCTAGACATTTTATGTAAAAAAACTGAACTGATAAATGTATATTTCACAACTTTAAACAGCTGATCTACACAAATAAAATAGTAGTTTACGCAACGATTGCGTTAAGTGAGTCTTTGCGACACGAGTAGAAAATTTAAGGCACGAGCCTTGGCGAGTGCCCTAAAAACTTCTACGAGTGTCGTAAAGACTATTAACGTGAGTTGCGTACACTACTTTACCTACGACCGTTTTTTAATTACTATCAATCTGGATTTAATTACTAACAATCACTAATGATAACTTTTTAGAGAGGTTATGTTTTCGTGTATTGTCATTGCCACTGAAAGTGATGCAACGACTTTTTGTATAATCAGCTGATTTCCTGTAATTACGTGTTTGTTAAACTTCGTTAAATATTAAATTGCTAGCAGCATTCTTACCATAAATAATATTGTATCAGGTACAATTCGGCAAATATTTCATTTATTTTTGGACTTCCACCAACTTAATTAAGAATACGCGAGTATCAACATGAACAAGTCGGATCAACAATTAAATTGGTCAACTGATCAGCTGATCAGCTGATTAGTTGACGTTCGAAGCATTGCAATTTTAATTCTTTTCTCTCAATACTCGAACCTCATTGGTCCGTTACCTGTGTGGATATGAGAAAACTATTCGGATATGAAATGAAACTATGCGGATATGAAAGTAAACAGCTGTAAAGTGAAACGTTTCAATTCTAAGAACTGGACTGAAATGGCTACTTTAAAAAACGGTCGTAGGTAAAAAAATATTTTACACATCTATGTGGTAGGTTTATTTATTCCAATACTTTGTCATGGATTATTTATTTTATTTGATTGATTATGGAAATAAAAAAAGATTCTAGAACAATTGCTGTATCAACCCTGGCTCTGTTTTCGATTTATTAAAGTGTATAAATTATGAAATATTGTTATTGATAGATTTTATTGTAGTAGGACAATTACAGTTCAGGTGATAGTTTTTGTAAAAATTTTGTGTATTTTTGTTTATAAATCTGAACTACTGACCAATTGTTTTATTAAGTGGTATAGTACATCTTTCCGTTATGAATCACAGGTACAGCAGCTATTTTCAGATAAAATGGGTATTCACCGTAACAGCTTTGGCACGATTAGACATTAATCCAACCCTCATGCGTGATGTGTAGGGAGCCTGGAGACTTATACCCTTATAAAGATTATATTGACATAAAGATTATATGTCTATAATATAATACCTAATTATCTTGTCAGGTTTTTTATAATGACGGTGGATTAAAACTGTATTATGTGTTTTATTTCTTGTAAGTGTGTGTATATAAGTGTGTGTAAGTGAGTTTTTAGTGGATAAGAAATCTTAGTATTGGCTAAAGTCGTCATTGCCTATCTTTAGGATTGTAAGGATGTGTAAATAATAATCTCATCGCACATAAATAGTTTGTTGCAATGTAATTACGTAAGCATTGTAGGCTTATAGAGAACAAAAAAGAATGAAGAACAATTGCCTTTATTTCTGATTTGTAAAATATCTGATTTGACTAAAAAGCCAGCCACAGCACCGTTGAATCCGATACACATATGAAAAACAGAATGAGAGATTTACATACGACTGAAGGTGTATGATAATGTAGTCTGAAAAATTCCTACGATCTATGAAAAGCTTATAACATTTTTTTCAATCTTTGTATTGCGTCTGGAAACTTCTATAGACGCTGAGTAGTTCAAGAACTTAATTAGTAAGTTACTTTAGAGTAAAAGTTCATAATTTACGCTCTGTGGTTCAAGTTACTTTTAACTCTCCTATTGAGTTTGAAGTTATAACTAGATTGCAGATGCTTTGACCGTCAGAATTAATGTCAAAAGGGCCAAATATAGTGTTTTTCATAAGCAAGCCTGAGATGAACCTTATAAAATGTATAAGTACTAAATCAAATAATTTTAAGTTGGTTTTCGTCAGATCGCTTAAAAGTGTTATATGACCAGATCGCGAGCAAACACGTTTTTTGATAACTAAGATAAGATTATCAAGAAAGCGGTTCTTTTAATTTAAGGTAAAGCATTTGAGACGCGTGAAATCTTTTCGCAATTATTTAATTTGCCTCAACCCTTAATTTGTTTTTACTTTAGAATACATAGTTGTAGTTGATTGTTTCCTTAGTAGTAGTAGATTAACATGTCGATGGTATTGTAAAGAAATATTTCATATAACACAAAAACTCATTCATGTGGTAGGAATAGGTTTAATTTAACATAATCATCTTTCATATACAGATTATGACTATTCAAATTGGATTATGACTTTGGCTTAAGGCAAAGTGGAATAATCCAACAATTTAGCCAATTAATTTGGAAAAAAATATTATAAATGTTATTATGTTCCACTATTTTTTTCAAACTTTTGCCATGTGGCTGTGTATTCAGGAGATATCTCTATTTCCTTTCCAATCCTCATGAACTCGTCTTCTGAAATTCTCTCGAAACGATTACCCAAATCTCTTAGCAGCCCAACAACTCTTGTGTTCAAATCTGCTTTAATCGCCTGAAAAAATAAAACAGACATGTATATGGCGAATATGTATATGTATGCGGGAGCAAAATTGTCTATAATCTAGCAATTATCATTCTTTGTATCGAACGTATCAAGTTAGGTAAAAAGTCAGTTTTCAGGAATTGTTTTAAACTATTAAAAATCGCAAACTGTAAAAATTCATAAAGAAATAAAATCCTGTAAATAGATTTCATTCGGATTTTGGCTATTCGTTCCGAAGTTCGATAGAACTATTTATATCTACAGAGTTTTTAATTCCCAGCAATAGATTATGTTGCCCCCTTCACACAAAAAAAAATATAGACCCTACATATCATAGACAGCTGTGGAGCTACTAATTTAATGAAATAGTCTTGGATTTTCTAATATTCTTAAGTAATTAACAGCTCAATCTAAAATGAAAATGTAAATGTTAAGGAATAATGCCCTTTTTTATAGCAAAACTACGTTTATTTCTACATAAACTACACACTTACCTCCCTAGAAGGCTTAACTGTTTGTTGTTGAGATGTTAATGACATCATCACTACGATAGCAATTACAGCTATAACCCTCATATTTTGACCTTTTTTATGCCTGAAACTAAATAGGACTATTAATTGATTATTTAAATTCTTATTAGGAAGCACCAAAATAAATAGGTTGGTTTAAGCTTAGACATGATGGGAAATTACATGTTGTACGATCTAATTGGCATCATTCAATGTTATAGAAATGCATGTTACATCAAAATATTTACTACCAATACTTCAATGCTTACAATATTTTTTAGTTACAATACAAACTAAACAATTAAATTTGTTCAGTTCGAAATCTTTAAGAGGGATTTTTGGAATACGGTTTCCTTCTGTATTGTACAAGATGTATCTGTTTGTATATTACTTACTTACATATTAACTTACAAGTCTTTGTTTTAAATAATTTGTTTAACAGATGTTGTCAATAACAATTAAGCAATGAGATTGAATTGTAAACAGTTATGAATAAAGAGAAACAACTTGAATGTTAAAAATATACTTTTTACTTTTTATAAAATTAAACATGGCGCAGTCGGTAAAGATTTGATTAAGAATCATATCAGAAGAATATACACTGAAATGGAATTTAACAAACCGGATATCCTAAGCCTTGAAGGCAACTTGGAGGAAAATTTTAGGACATTTAAAGAAGAAGTGGAGATATATTTTATAGCCACTGAAACCGAAAAGAAACCCAACTCTATACAAGCAGCAAGGCTTAAAAACCTACTAGGAAAGGAAGCATTGAAAATTTATAAAGATTTCAAAGAAAATGAACCAGAAACAGAAAAACGATATTAGAGACACTAGAGAAGTATTGCATGCCAAGAAGGAATGAAATCATGGATATTTATAAGTTTTTCAAAAGAAAGCAGCAACAAGATGAACCATTTAATAAATGCTATTCGGACCTAAAAAATTTAGTCAAACCATGTAAATTTGAAGAACAGGAGGAAAAACTGTTGAGAGCTCAGATAATACTGGGATTAAGTTAAAAAAATGTCCAAGAAAAACTTTTGAGAGAAGATTTAAAATTGGAAAAGGTAATAGAAACCTGCAAAACAATGGAGTTAACCGAACAAAATATGAATGAAATCAATGAGAAGAAAGAAGTACTTCAAATTACAAATATTAATGATGAGATGAAAGAAGTTCATCAAGTAACTAAAACCTTTGCTGGGACAAGTAAGTTGGAGGAGAGGAATCAAATGGACCAAACAGGTAAAAGATGTTTTAAATGTTACAGATGTAGTGGTAGTCATGGAAAACAACAATGTCCAGCTTGGGGTAAGATCTGTAGTAAATGCAAAAAGTCAAATCATTTTGCAAGTATGTGTAGGACAAACTTAAATCTTCTTTCTAATGAGAAATGTAACGAAGTAACTGATCAAAGTAGTAGTACTTATGTGTCTAATTGCCAAGAATATGAGATTAACACAGTTTGTGAAGTTAATTCCATTGGTAATCAAGAAAAAGCTTGGTATAAAAGTGTTAAAGTTGAAGGGTTCAATGTAAGAATGAAACTTGATACTGGGTCTGAAGTATACATTGTCCCATATTCCTTTGTAAAACTAAATAAACTACAAAATAGGATGAAGAAAAACCTAAGCAAACTAATTTCATTCGGGGGGTTTCAAATAAATCCAGTAGGATACATAGATGCACAGATTGAGACAGAAAATAAAATGGATGTTGTAAAGTTAGTAGTGGTCAGTGGAGAATGTACTCCAATCCTAGGACTGAAATCTTGTCTAAGTTTAAATTTAATAAATAAGGTAGATACTGTTGCTAATGGTTTATCAGTAATAGAAGATGAAGAAAAATTTAAAATTTATAACAATTAATAAAGATGTTTTTGATGGTGTGGGTTGTTTCCCTGACATTTGTAAGATAAAATTAAAGGAAGATGCAGTACCACAAGTAAGTTCTGCTAGAAGAATACCATACAAAATTAAAGATAAATTTGAAAAGGCATTAAATTCGCTCTTTGACAATGAAATTATTAAGCAAGTTGAAGAGCCGGTTGAATGGGTCAATAATATTGTAGTACTAGAAAAGCCAAATGGATCTTTAAGAATCTGTATTGATCCTACGCAACTTAATAAATATATCATAAGAGAGAGGTATGCAATTCCTTTGCTAGAGGACTTGGCTCCAAACTTAAGTAATAAGAAGTATTTTACAATTTTAGATTTGAAAGACGGGTTTTATCATATAAAACTAGATGAAGAATCAAGTAAAATGTGTTCATTCAGCACAATCTTTGGAACTTACAGATTTTTGAGGGCACCTTTCGGCCTCTCTTGTGTACCTGAAATATTTCAAAGATTGGTACACAAATATTTCAAAGATATTAAAGGTCTTTCAATCTATTTCGATGATTTGTGCATTGCTACTGATACTAAAGAGGAAAATGATAAAATTATAAAGCAGGTAATGGAAAGAGCAAAACAGTATAATATTAGATTTAACTATAGTAAAATGCAATACTGTGTTAATAAGGTAAAGTATATTGGTGCTATATTCAGTGAACAAGGGATGCAACCGGATCCTTCAAAAATAGAAGCAATAAAGAATTTTAAAACTCCTACATCTAAGGTAGAATTACAAAGATTTTTAGGTATGGTAAATTACATCAGAAATTTAGTTTTTTTTTTAATAATGAACTTTATGTGTCAACTTGTATTTATATATTGATGAAGACTTCCGTCGGATTTTTGACTAGCTTCTACGTGATGTTTTGAAAAGGATTTGACGATGGGTCTTTGTACCCGAAACTAGTCATCCATTGACTAAAATACGTTACACGTTGGATTGATGTATTTAAGTTGAACAGTAAAAACAGTAATACAATAATTGGTAAATTCAAAGAGCTATTTAGTCGAAATAAGATCCCTATGTATTTGGTGGCTGATAATCAACCATTTAATAGCTATGAAATGAAACAGTTTTCTATAAATTGGAATTTTACAATAATCACATCAAGTCCTCACTATCCAAAAAGTAATGGACTAGCAGAAAAGGCTGTAGGAAATGTAAAGCAAATGTTACGGAAGAGTGCTGAAAGTAAACAGGATTTTGAACTCTTCTTATTAAATTATAGAAACTCACCTGTTGCAAACCTGGATTATTCACCTTCTCAGCTTTTAAACAGCAGACACATAAGATCAAAACTACCTATCCCAAACAGCTATTTACAGCCTAAAACAGTTTCTTGTGAGGTACATGAAAGCATAAATGAAAGCAAAAGGTATCAAGAACAAGTGTATAACAGATCAGCCTTGAAGAAAGAAGATGAATTCCAAGTGGGAGAAGAGGTTTTAGTACAAGATATTAAAACCAAATTTTGGAATCCTGGTGTGATTTTTAAAAAATTACCGGAACCTCGTTCTTATTTGGTAAAATTAGAAAGTAATATTGTTTTAAGAAGAAACACACACCATATAAGAAAAATTAAATCTATGTTAAAAAAGAAGGACAGTCAAGACGGCTAAAAAAGGGAGATGTTTGTATATTACTTACTTACATATTAACTTACAAGTCTTTGTTTTAAATAATTTGTTTAACAGATGTTGTCAATAACAATTAAGCAATGAGATTGAATTGTAAACAGTTATGAATAAAGAGAAACAACTTGAATCTTAAAAATATACTTTTTACTTTTTATAAAATTAAACAGTATCAATCTTTAAAACGTATCTTACCTAAACTGTTTCTTCGGTAACTGTATTAATTAATGTATTTAATTCCGTGTTTATCACTATTTAAATTGATTAAAATTGTAATTATTTGGAAACTGATTATTTTTAAGTGTTCATACAATTATTATCTCTGTTACGGTAAACTATCACAATACTGATTGGTTTTCATCCATGCTAGTTAAAATATTGCGGTAATTTATGATTGAAATTCAATAAGAAATTAATTCTTTGACTTCTGATAGATTTGCCAAAACTGAATTTGGAATGTTTCTTGTAAAGAAAAAACTGAACTGTTTAACCCTTGTTTTAAACACTGTAGAATACATTTAACATTTGTTCATTGCTGTATATATATCATGATTTGTATGATCTAACATACTATAAAAACTATTTTCTTATTCTATGATTAGAATTATTTGTAATGTGCTGTTTTCAATTATTTTCAACCCCATTGGATATACACACTTTATAATAAAAATAGACGGATTCTTTTTCAAGACCATTTAATCTTTTGCTGCTTTACTTTTTATGATTTTAATTTCTTAGTTTAATATTTTATGTTACAATTTGTACTGTTTTCTTCTAAATTACTTCTTGATCATCTCTGCATGTGCAATTAAATTTACGACGGTAAATACAAATTTCTCTAACGACATTTGAAATGTATAATATCTACACGTATAACTCACCACACGGTAAATACATATAAAAGATGATAATGTGGTGATCGATTTCGACTGGACACTCCAAATATTATCAGACCCTTTGGACGGATAACATTGGCGTATAACATCGATCACCACATATCATCAATTTAAGACCATTTTATTGGTCTACAAAGATCGTCTAAGGACCCCTCATAATTTGAAGAAAAACATGATTTTCACTCGTTGTTGCCAACCGTGGATACGCTACACTGATCTTAAAAAAAATGAATCTTGATTCAAAATAATGGAAGTTAACCGATATAATAATTAACTGAATATCTATTAATTTCCAATGATATTCTGTGTGTTCTAGTTGAGAAGACAATTTTATTTGTACATAATTACTTGTTATTGAGTTCCAAAGTAAGCAAGTTCATCTGTCCTAACATATATTAAACAAATAACCTCCAACCCTCTATACTTCATTTAGTAATAGCATTGTTATAGGAATCATCAAGGATAAACGTAGAAGTATTTAAGCATATTGCTAACGAACCATCAACTAAATATAAAAAAAATTTAAAATATGATATGCAAAGTAAGTACAAACAATTATGCTATAATTAATCACTACAATATTGACTTAGAGAAAACCTCAAGTCCCGCAAACATCTAACAAAGAAAAATGTAATCTAGGCTAAATATTAAATTGTATTATGAATGTGTAAATTGAGTATAGAGTACAAACTCAGGCTAGTTTCTTATATTAATCCTCTTTTCTGTAGATATATCCGAATGCTGTATTTTGCTCTTCACAGTGAAGTGGAAAATGTGGAAATGTTTTGTTATGCCTTCACAAACAATATGTGACGTGGGATGTCGTTAGGTTTGGCCTGACTGGTAAAAATTAAATTCAACAAATATTAGATATAATGAGTAAATTTAAGAATTTATTGTTAAAACTTTTCTGTATAAGCTGTTTACTGATAGGTTACTCATCTCGAGCCGATTTTTAGTCAAATTTTGATAGGTAATTCTATAAGAGAAATGTTAGCAACGTGATTGTTGTTATTATGACATCGTCGACCTCGTACATACACTATTCGAGGTGTAAAAAGTACACCTGATAGGATTCATATAAGGACTTGATGAATCTGGCGTCACATAACAGTCTGTACACTACATTATGAAGATATTTATACTTAATACAACTGAATTTACTTAAGAAGAAGAGGGTAGTACGAATTCTTCAACTAATAAATTCAGGAGGCTATTTAGCATTCACCCAACGTAGTTTTTTTATTATGATAATGTACCTGTTTGTAGTAAAGGTCAAATTATTTCGAGTCTCGAAATGCCAGACGAGACCCGCCTCGTTGGCTACGCCGACGACGTCGCTGCTCTGGTTGCAGGCAGAACCGTTGAAGAAGCAGAGCTTAAACTTGGTATAGTGATGCTCCGTGTCAACGAGTGGATGCGGGACCACGGCTTATCGTTGGCGGTTGAAAAAACAGAGATCGTGATCCTAACCAAGAAAAGAATTCCCACCGTCCTTCATTTGCAAGTAGGCCATGCCCAATTGGAGACCAAGCGGTATGCCAAATACCTTGGTGTTATGATTGACGGCAAAATGTCTTTCGGCGAGCAGATAAAGCGAACTGTTGACAAAGCCGCAAAGGGAGTTGTTGCCCTTAGTAGGCTTATGCCAAACGCCGGCGGCCCCCGCTCCTGCAAACGCCGCCTACTGATGTCTGCCGTCCAATCAGTACTCTTGTACGGCGCTGAAATCTGGGCCCACGTGCTGGAGAGGCAGGCTTCTTCCGTGACAGGCTCTCCCGTGTTCAGCGTCGACGTGCCTTGCGAGTTGCTTCCGCTTACCGCACGGTTTCCGAGCCTGCAGTCATGTTGATTGCCAGTGTCATACCCGTCTTTCATCTCGCGAGGGAGCGACAGGCGATCTACCGCAGGAGACCTGAAGTAGATAGAGAGACTGCTGCCAGAGAAGAACGCAACCGCAGTTTCGACCGCTGGCAGCGTGAATGGGAAGCCGAGTCTCGGGGACGTTGGACCGCCAGGCTCATTCCTAGCATCTGACCATGGGTGGAACGGAAGCATGGTGAGGTTGGGTACTACTTGACTCAATTTTTTTCGGGTCACGGATACTTTCGGGCCTTTTTGCACAGAATGGGGAAGGCTGCCAGTTCATACTGTATGTACTGTCCAGGCATTGCAGACACGGCTGAGCATACCTTCTTCTTCTGCGACAGGTGGCATGTCCGCCGAGCCTCCTTGATCTCCGAGATCGGCGTCGACATTACTCCCGATAACATCGTTGGAGCTATGACGCAGCTACAAACTACAATAGAACAAGGACTAAAAATCTTTCATTTAAATATACAAAGAGGCCTACAACGAAAAATAGATAAACTTCTTATAGAAATCAGCAACTTAAAACCTCATATACTTATCATCACCGAACATGGTACACAAAGTGAAAAACTTGAAATAACCCACATACCAGGATACAATTTAATTTCTCACTTCTCAAGAAGATCTCATAGATGGGGTGGGGTGGCTATCTACACCATTGAAGCAATGCCACTAAATGTGGAAAAAGTAAACATGGAAGCCTATACAGATGAAATGAATATTGAACTGGCGGCAATAGAAATTAAGGAAAGGAGAAGAAACCTTCTAATTTTGGGACTCTACAGACCACCCAATGGGGACCTACAAACTTTTTTCTCAAACCTGCAAAACCTACTACACACTCACTCAAAACCCCGGAAGAAGATCATCATTATGGGCGATTCAAACCTAAATATAATCGACAAAGACAAAAGCAACATCAAAGACCTTACTGCTCTACTAAATATTTTTGACATAAGAATAGAAGAACTGCCCCATACCAGAATTACACACACTACAAAAACTAGTATAGACTGCTGCTACACATATATAAACCCTGCAAATATAAAATCCGAAACCACACAAAACTTTATTTCCGACCATCTCGGAGTTTTCTGCAAAATAAACCTTTTCAATCCTAAACCATCAAATATAAAAAAATACTCAAGACAGATAACAACTAAATCCCTCTCTGATGTAATGCACTATCAAACGTGGACTGGTCAATGGTTTATCAACAGAAATGCACAGAGGAAAAATATAATACATTCCTAAGAACCATCGTGGAAATTATGCAGACACACATGCCAAAGACCTACAAAACTTAAAAAATGGCAATAATGGCGTAAACGAATTCATTTATGATGACAATATAAATGAACTACGACAGGAGATGAAACACTCACACCTAAAATACTTAACAACAAATAGGCCTGAGGATAAAGCTACTTTTACAGAAACAAAAAAGAAGTATGACTCCGAAATAAAACTAAAGAAAAGGTCAAAAATATCATCTAAAATTGAAGAATCAAAAAACAAAAATAAAGAAATCTGGAGAATCATAAATAAAGAAAGAAACAAAAACCCATACAACAGAGAAAATATTATGCTTAGGGAGGGAAATGAAATCATCTCGTGCCCAGAAAAAATAAGTGAACTTTTTAACGACTATTTTATCAAAATCGGAGGCTCTGCTGAAAACTCCCACAACAACAGGGAAATATTGCAAGAACAAGAAGAAATGCAAACCCCTCAAGAACCCTCACTAGGAATTCTATCAAAATTCAATACAATAAACAAAACCGAACTAAACAATATATTTAAAACTTTTGATTCAAAAAATGTCTGCGGCTTTGATGAAGTCCCAAACTCTGTTATAAAATACTGAAAGGAAGAACTTATAAACCCCCTACTAGACATCATAAACAGTTCAATCCTAAATTCACATGTACCTGATAAAATGAAAATAGCAACAATTTACCCAAAGTATAAAAAAGGAGAAAAAAATTTAAAAACAAACTACAGGCCAATCTCAATACTACCCACCCTCTCAAAATATATAGAGAAAATAATTTTTAACCAGATAATGGACCATCTAAACGAAAACAACCTCCTAACTGAAAAACAACATGGTTTTAGACCTCAAAAATCCATTACTACAGCAGTATTTCAATTCTGTGACTTTATAACAAAAAACTGGGAAGAAAATAACAATGTCATAGGAATATACCTGGATATAGAAAAAGCATTTGACAGTCTAAACTGGAAAACCCTTATAAGTAAATTAAATGCACTTAACATAAAACAGGACGCTCAAAAATGGATCAAAAGTTATCTCACAAATAGAAAACAACAAGTAGAAATAGGCTACATAAAAAACAACATTGAACTTAAAACCAAATCTAGACTTCAAGATATGACCCAAGGAATTCCACAAGGAAGCATCCTCGGCCCCCTCCTGTTCATCAT